CTCCACAGACTCCCACATCCACACCCCTGCCCACACCCACCCATAATCCTACACCCACACCCCCCACAGACCTCCCCCAGAAGCCTGACACACATCCCTGCCCACACCCCCTCACACACTCCCACACCAACTCATGCACATGACTGCACCCTCCACAGACCCACACATACCCACACCTCCCACAAATCCTACACACATACCTCCCACAGTCCCTTAGGCTAAAATAGAGCAAAAGTTATAGTTTGGAAGTACATACTAGTTGTTAGCCTGTAACTGTTACCTCTGCATGCTTTTACAGTGATACAAATGAGCTAAACTTACAGCTAAATGAGCTGCAAATTTTGCTGTCAATGGAGGACAGTTGCAGTGATTTTTGCAACTTTTATACTGCTGCAGGAGTAGGAAAGGGAAATATTTAGAGCATAATGGCTAATATTCTCTCCCTATCAATAATCTGTTCCCTATCCCAAATTTGTAGTGGTTAAAAGTTACTTCTGTACCATCTTCACAATCCACCGGGATCACTCCCAGTTAGTGCAGTGCCTGGGCATTCTACTATACTTCAGGTATGTTTTTACATGATCTCAATCATTATTTAGAAAAATGTCCCGTAGAACCAGCAGAGCTTTTTTGTGTGCTTCAAGGCATAGATTTGCTTTTTCTTACTCTTATTGTCCCAGTATTTGATACTTGAATTTTCTTCACTTCGCTGGAAGAGTGTACCACTGTGCTATGCTTTTGTAAATGGAAAGAACACGTTCTGGTATGTGTCATCACATTAACACCCATGTAATTCATTAGCAGGGATCCTGGTTTTCTCTGGTGGGAAATCCAAAATTCTCTGATTAAAAAATAAAAATCCCAAATACTCCAATTAAAAAACTCAGAATCTATGTTTTTCTGTGATTAAAATGAAACACCACTATATGTATCTATATAGATATATATATTGATTGATCAATCTATATGGCTTAGTTGAATGCAATGTTTTATTGATATATTTACAATTTTAAAGCAACTTCGAAGCCTACCAGTGCCTCAGTCATTATAATAAAACAAATTCTAAATACCTATACATTTTTGGCATTTGATTTTGGTTTTTTTGATCATGGAAAATCAGCGCTCCCCATGCCCCCTTTGCTTACCAGGATGTGGGTCCAGCTGCAGCTGTCTCCCCCACCCCCTTGCTTTGTGGTGCTGAGCAGCCCTGATATGCCAGTGCCATGCCCCTGCCCAGCAATTGCCCTTTACTCCCAACCCACAGCCCCCCTGCCCATGCCATTGCTCCTCACTCTCAAGCCACAGCCTCTCCCCCTAGCCCTGCTGGTGCCTCTCACTCTCAACCCACAGTCTCCCACCCCCTCATGCTCCTTACTCCCAACCTGAAGCCTCCTGGCCCTGTTGGTGCTCCTCACTTCTGACCCGCAGCCTCCCAGCTGTGTCTCATCCTGCCCAGCCCCGTGCAGACTCACTGGGTGGTGGTCTGCAGGGACACAGTGGGGGATGGCCTCCAGCACAAGGTACATGAGGTGCACCACATGTGGTGGAAGCACAGGCAGTGGCTGCAGCACCACATGCTCCTCCGTGTCATCAGCTGGGGCTGGGGCATGGTAGGGAGGACCAGCACAGTGCTCTACAGCAGCAACATTAAGCCAAGCTTGGCTCTGGTCCAGGCTATGCTGTGGGCAGCAGGAGGAAGGTGACGGGCTGCAGGGGGTCTCTCTCCCACCTGGGCTGGAGTGCTGTGACTGCGGTGGCTCTGGCTCATGCAGGTGGTGGTGGAGTGAGTCTGGCCCCAGTGTAGGCTGCAGGAAGGAGGAGTGCCTGTGGCAGTCGCCCTCCCCGGCCAGGGGCTTCCACTCTGTGCCAGGTGGCCTGGCCATGCTCCCTCTCCCAGATTTGGGGCCTAGCTACTGACATCTAGCATAGTGATGCAGAGTGTCTTGCTGAGCACCTGTATCCGTAGGCTAAAATAAACTCAATTTCTCTGGGGTTGACTCATGTACGCAGTCCCATATAGGGGCTTTGAGGAGACGCTCATTGTGGATGAAATCTGTGGAGACTAACTGCAAAGCTTTAACCAATATTTACTATATACAAACTGAATTTTTCAGAGTTTTATATTGTGGCCAAAATGCAGATATCATAGGAGTATCAGAAAATACATTTCTTGCATAAAGGCCAGTTTCCTGGTCAGATTCACTAGCATGCTTCAAAGAAATCATGGTGTTAGAGCTCTTCAAAGAAGCCATTTATAAGCATGGGATATCGACAACTGTTTCCCTCTAACCTCAGCCTTAAAAATAGGGGAACTGCTTTACATATGCTTTTTAAAAATTATTTTAAAGCAGAGTTTCAGCCTGGGAATTTTTAGTCCTAATGGTTAAAGTTTGACAAAATTATACGAGTCCAAATACACAAGTAGGAATCACTTGGGAGTCTCTTAAGTGGCACTACCAGCTCTGCTTGAAGACTGATGACTCCCCAAAATTGAAAGAATAAGTCAATCTGTTAGTTTTTTGTAACAAAAGGGAATATAGCAGAATGGAGAGGAATGATCCAGAAAGGAGACAAAGGTGGCTAAGGAAGGGAGGAAGGCAGAGTTATGCAACAGCCAAAAGGCTGTTGATGATGGCATGAATTTGATGCAGTAGAGGGGAGAGAGCCAGTGTAGGGACACAAAGGGAATGTGTGTTGTGATTGCTTGATTGGCAAAGACTGTTAAAAAAAGTTATGCGTGGAAAGGGTGCTGTTTGGACTATGGGCAGGGCAGTATAAATTTTGGGGAAGCCAATGAAGTTGCAGTAATTAAGATGAAGCCTGAATGAAAGATTTTGCTGTAGGGTAACAGGAATTAATTTAGGAAATGCTTCATTTCAACTATGCAAAACTGTCAGTTGTAAACAATGGGGCCTTGGGCTTGAACTATGAGATGAATGAGAGCTTTGTTTCTGCCTTGTCTGTTCATATGTTTAAACTTATCCATCATGCAAAATATTTCACCTTTTTTCCCCCTGAAATGTATATGTATTTGTTTACAGTGCGAGACTGCTGTTGAATTCTTCTATTTTTATGTACTTCTTTTTGCTGACTTGGAAGTAGTGTTTATTTTTTCATTTGTCCTTTCCTTATTTAAATTAATTATCTCTTTTGCTTTTTCAGTTGCAGTAAAACAGTAAGGGTGTTCTTGCAGATTTTGAGCTTCAAAATGAGTAAGTCTATATGTGGTTTAGTACCAAATTATGAACTGCCCCATGTGCAAAGTACATTTGGTCATAATCAAGGTGCTATAAATCTGATTAAAAATGAGATTTGCCGCCTTGTAGTAGTATTTGTGCTTGCACCTGGCTATGAAAGAGCAGCAGTTATATGTTAATCAAAGTGAACATAGTTTGGCTACAGCTCTGTCTGCCAGGTATATATTGAAAAGATAATATACTGACTGCAGTTTTGGTAGTTGGTTTTTTTTTTTTTTTTTTTTT